TTGAATCAGGAGAGATTATAAATCCATTTAGGGATATATGGTTTTGGTAGCTCTGGTAGTGTAGTCATTACAGTATGGCTGTTGCCCTTCTGTGGGAGAAAGATGGGGCTTTCTGCATATGTAAACAGAGAGAGAGAGAGAGAGAGAGAGAGAGAGAGAGAGAGAGAGAATGTGCAAGTTAGTTTGAACCTTAAGGACGCCAGTTCAAACTCACCAGCTACTGCTTGCTCGTAGGAAACCCTATACAGGGTCACTATGGGTCAGAACTGACATGATGGCACTTAACAATAATAACAATGTGTGTATATATATATGTTTTTGTTAATTGCCATTGAGTCTATTCAGACTCAAAGCGATCCTGTGTAGGGTTTCCGAGGAACAGCTGGTAAATTTGAAGTACCAAGCTTCCGGTTCAAATTGACCTTGCAGTCTAATGCTTATCCTACAGTGTCACACCAGGACTCCATATTTTTAAAAAAATACACACACACATAAACTATCATAAGTTGAATCAGAAGTGATTGTAAATTCATTTAGGGACAGTATGTTGTTGTTGTTGTTATGTGCCATCGAGTCGGTTCCGACCCATAGCGACCCTGTACAGGGTTTCCGAGGGTGTATAGACAAACAATATTTTAGGTGTTGACATCACATGACATGACAAGGTGAGCCATTCTGTAACCATAGAAAATGTTTTCTCAAGGTAAGGAAAAACTCTTCTGAAATGTTTATTTTGAAATATTACTCTGAAATAAGCTTGGAAAAGGAGTTAAAGCATTTGAAAAGAAATGATTAATTAATTTCTAGAAAAGAAACCTTCAGTGAATAAATGTAAAATTAAAAAATCTAATTTGAACAAAATTTCAAATGCTTATGAGGACTGTTTAACAAATGCATTTCAAGTAATAAAAAGAGCTAAATGCAAAATGTCACATTCATTTTTTATGGCTTCAAAACAATATGGAAAATCATCCATCAGGAGCCCCATTGCAGGCATCCCAGGGTTTCCGAAAGAACCAACCAAATTAATCAGAAAGAAATAGCATAAAGCCTAAGGCTAAACACATGTTCAGGAATTCTCGGCTCCTCATTCTCATTAAACATGGTCCACAGTTGTTCATCTCTAGCTGGTATCATAATGATCAACTGTCTAGATTTGATGGCTCCCATTCTTGCTCTTCTCTTACCCATTGCCTAGAATATTGCTGAAAGAATTTTGTTAAGTATAAATTTGAAATTATGCTGATTAGCTTAAAACTATCAACTCTTTGTGTAAGAATGCAGTCCACGGTTTATGAGACCCTTTGTGTTTGGTCCTCCCTACCTTGTCAATCTTTAGTCCTGCTACTTCCTCTTTCACATACTATATCCCAGTCACAGGTGTGTCCCACATTTTTTTATTACAATTCCCTTATGGGGAACTCTCTTTATTTACTTGTTCTGAATCAACACATTTGTATCTGCCACCTATGACTGATTTCTCTTCATTCTTTTGGTCTCAGTTCAAATGTCTTGTCTGAATCTTTCATTGTAATCCCTGACTAGCGTATGTGCCCCTGATAGATGCTTCCCAAACTTGGTAGTACCTCAATGATTAGACTTTTCATGCTTAATTATCATTGTAAGTATAATTGAGAATCTCCCTTGCTAGACTTTTGTTCCATGAGGACTGGAACAATGTTGTCTTACTCAGTCTAAATGACTGGTGAAAAAAAAAAGTTACTCAATAAATATTGAATTGAATAAGTCAATTCAATAAGGAGTCATAGTAAGAATTTCTAAGCCTTTCAACAGAGCAAAATTTAGCCATTTCAAGTGGTAGGCAAAGTCTGTTTATCTTGTTAAATAAGACCCCTTTTAGCTACATAACATTTAAGTTGGAATAGTATTGTTGTTAAGTGCTGTCGACTCGGATCTGACTTACAGCAACCTTGCATAGGGTTTCCAAGGAGCAGCTGGTGAGTTTGAACAGCCAACCTTGTTATTCAAACTGACTTTGTAGTCTAGTGCTTTATCCCACAGCACCAGTGACTGAAACTAAGCAGGGCAAAGGTTATTTGACATACACTTATTTACTTCTTTTCTGTGCTATGCATTTATAGTTCAAGTTGTAAAGTTTATTGTTAATATACATTCAATAAACATTACTGACATAGGAAAAAATTCTGATCTTGTATTTTATTATTTTTCAATCACTAATTACGTTTAGTTCAAGGTACATACTACTTGCATATGAGAATTGATGTTTCTACTCAACATGTTAAGAGGACACCATAAGCTAAGAATTATGTATTTGAGTGTCCTCAATGACCAAGTTATTTTGGGAGTTACAAAGAAATATCCAAATGCAAATTTCATTAGTTCATAAAGTATCTGGTATAAGTTTTTCTGTAACTGACAGCACACAAGGCTGGTCAATGTTAGTGGTTTGCTATGGAAGAAGTCCATTTACTATAGATGAACCATTTCAGACCCTGAGAATCAACTGACTCTTATTCCAAACATCTCACAAATAAAGTTGAGCACATGGAACCTACATGCTGAGATCAGGCATTTGCTATGTAAAAATGTTGTTGTTGTTGTTAAGTGCTTTTGAATTGGCTCAAGGTCGT